ATATTTTCGTTCTTTTTTTATTATAAAGAAAACAAGCTTTACCATGCTTTCTTTACTGGCCTTGATTTCAGTTAGCATTGCAGGATATTTTTCAAAAACAGTGTTTTTATTTAAGCTGCCATCATCATGCGACTTGGGAGTAATGGTAATATATAATGGGCATGGACATGTGGGAAAAGACTCATTTTCTAAAGTGATCCTTCCCATAGTGCAGCCAGAAAGTCATAGAGACAGAAAATCACTCAAACTGGCAATCCACTCAAATCTAAAATCACTCAGCAGTCATCAGAGACTCTTGAGGCCTGACAGAGAGTAGCTGTCATATATTCACACAAGGACACTTACATCAGCCCAGTCAGGTGTGTGTGTGTGTGTTTGTTTGTGTGTGTGTGTGTGATTCTGCACTGGGATGTATGTGCCTAAGCATGCAAATGTGAAGTTTGTATTGATTGTTTAAGATTGAGTGTGAGAATATTTATATCTGAATGTGTGCCATGCACTCTCACTTATGTGCTGCCGTGTAAGGGCTTAAGAGCCATTCCCCTGGTTCAAATTATTTCATTGTTGACTAAATAAAAATCATTATCTGATCTGGCTTGATATTATAAAACCCCCGCTCTGGACACATACTGTAAACAACGTTATGAACAGTATACATTTAAATGGTATTATGCATTAAACAAATCCGTATGACATTTACTGTCCCTGATGTTTATTCTGATGGACAGATATGATGCCTCATATTATCAGCTCCTACCATCATGCTCTGTGTCAGTAATTGACACGTTGCAGTCAAGGGGATGCAGAGGTTAAGTTATTAAGAGCGCAAGTAATTGATACTTAATTTCATTCCTTTCTTTTACAAGTCAGCACAACAGACAAAGCTGAGCTGTCAGAAGCTCTTAAGGTAAAAGGCCTGCCTACATCACACACACAAAGGACTGAGAAAAAAATTATTTATTTCCCTCTTGAGACCATGCCAGAAAAAATAGAGAAGATCACAGTTGAGTAAGGCATTGCCTTAAACGAAGATGCCATTATTTCAAAGAGTGACATGCGGCATGCTCGTCTTTGATATATGTGTGACACCAAGTTAATGAGATATCAAGTCTGAGGTGCAACACCTCTTAGTTTATTGAACGCCTTGATCATTGACTAGAATGGGAGAGACGCATATATTACCCTGTGACAAGACTCACCCTGCAGAATTCGCCTGGCTTAACATTAGGTGTATGTGTGTTAGGTGTATGTGTGTGTGGGTGTGTATCAATGCCTGTGAGTAAATGTCTTGGTGTATAAAGCATACCGCTTATGGACATGTGTTTTTGTGTGCATATGAGCGCCTCCACACGCACAGGCGTCTGTGCGTGCATATAAGTGATACCAGAGACAGCTAAGACACTGACCCGTTCTGACATAATATTATTCTGCTGCAGGGGATCGAAACTGAAAAGGAAGAAAATCCATAGTGTACAGGAGACGACGAGTAAGAGGTTTATTGTGAAAGAGAAAAAGGCCTGAGAGAAAGATCGTGAGAGGAAGAGGCAAAAGCATCCTCAGGAAAAGGAGACACTGAGGGGGGAAATATATCAAGTTCTTAACCTCACAGGAATCAAATATAGCAAAGGGACTGGATGAAAGAAGATAAACACATCCAAATAAATCAAACGGAGACACAGTACAAAATATGTCTGAGTCTGACTGACTCATGGGGTCTGTTAATAAGATCATGGCCTTCCAAATAGCCTCCGGCTTGAGAACACTATTCCAGGTACTGTTCACTGCCTTCCAAATGTATTTGTCAGTGTGAGACGAAATTATAACAGGTTTAAAGTCTATTCTCAAGGATTAAAAGTATGTGTTTGTGAAGTCAATTAACCTTTTGACACCTTTTTTCTCTATCTGGCCATCTCCAAGGTAAAATTCTACCTCAGCAATTTTCTCTAAAATGAATATTTTTCCAGGCACTAAATACTAAATGTGAAGGAAAATATAACTGTTAATTGAAATTAAGCTCCAATTTATAGTACTGTGTATACAATTTAATTAGACCGTTAAACATACAATGAAACATTGCAACAGTTTCACTGATGATGCCACTGCAGCAGAAGGAAAACATCAGCCTGTGTCATGCAGCTGAGAGAGGGGGACGGCATCAGTGTATACCACTAGAGTGCACCCTGCAGCCTTGAATACAACAGTGATGAGTAAGAGACTCACAGAGACATAGGGAGGTGCAGAAAGGGAATATATAAGGGGTAAAAAGGAAAAGGACAAATATGGAGAGGGCGGTAAAGTAGGGGAAACAGAGTCAGAAGTTATATAGGAGAATTTGGTGGTGCAATAAAACAGATGCAGGATAGAAAAAAAACATCAAATCAGAAGAGACAAAGTCAGAAGGAAAGGTGTGCCTCCCTCTTGTGCTCTTTGGCTGTACGGGGCTTGCTGCCACTGTCATGTAAAGTATCCATGAAAAAAAGTATCTCTCCATCCTGCTCATGAACATCCCATGATCCAGGTCTGTCTCCTGTCACTACTAGCTTCGCGCACTCTGCTGCTATTGAAAAGCAGTTATTTTGATATGATTTACTTATCAATGATCAATAAGTGTCAGTGGATCCTAAAAGATCCGTCCACCCTAAATAGACACTTTACCACAAAATGAAAAATATAAATGTTCTTAAATTAAATTGTTTTAGTGTGAGATGCCAATTGTTTTAGAAACTGAGTGTAGATATATCTGCATTCTCTCTAATATAATGGGACTAGATGACACTTGTGATGAGTTTTTATTAGGGTAAGTAGTTCGTAAATGAAGCTGCTCACAACATGATCTGAGGATTATCTTGTGTAACCAAATCACCTTTTCTGAAATGAGACATTGGTGTTGAGTTTTAAATATATTTTCTGACGCTTTGAGAGCCACAAGCCAAGTACAATATAATGTCTATTCTATTGTGTTTTAAAGAAGGCAGAAACCCACACACCGAAACAATCTAGATAAATAAATAGGACCACGGGTAAAAGGAAAATATGTATTTGTCATGAGATAATCCCTTTTTGGTCTGATGCTGCCATGGCTACCTTACCCATCTAGCAAACTGATGCCTAACATGACCCTGACAGCGTCATGTAGTGATACTGCAGTACCATTTTGGCTGCTCGTTTTGGGAGCTGTGATGTGGCACTGATGTACTCACAGGGTGGAACTGATTCTCCCCACTCCCTGTAGCCAATCAGTGGAAAAAACACAGAGTTTGACTTTGATCATGCTGGCCCGGCATACGGTATCCTCAGTGGTAGCAGATATCATATAAAACCACACTGCTACCTCAAATAGTGCAATGATGACACTTTCAGCCTGTCCAGAAATGTCAACAAGTGAAACTGTGAGGACATAATCCTTCTGTACAATGTTGCTCTATGGTTCCTATTACTAAGGGCATTTCAAGACCGTCTTTTCTAAATGTAGTCACTTTGTGGGGGGCACTTGATGTAAACCCAAATGATAATTGTATTGAAGTTTGAAGGATATAAGAATTTCCATTTAAAACAAACTTAACAAAAACGAATAACTAATTGTATACTAATTTAGTTAGATCGGAGTGTTTTATCCTGCTTTTGGTGTTAAGTAGGTTATGATGAAGATTAATGTATTTTTAATTTACACATACATTTTCTTTTTAGCAATAAATGACAGATGTATTCATAATGCTGGACACTCTACTAATTAGTTATATGCACTAGATTAACACATCTGCCAACAAGCAAAGTGTGTGATTGAATGTTAATAGTGGCGTGCTTATATGCTGTTTTGTACAGCATTTATCCCCTCGTTTTAAAAACACCACCCGCCACTTTAATCACTCCTCCCAACACTTCCAACGCTGGCTTCAGTTCAAGTCTAATATATTCTGGAGGGAGGGGGGGTAAAGTGAGATCCTCACTGGAGGAGCGCAGAGGGATGCAAACAGAAAGCGGGATGCATGCAAATGAGATGAAGCAGTCAGGTATTTATGATGCTGGTTAATCACTGAGGGAATTAAGTATTTAACCATGCGCGCATTATCTGTGTATCGTTAACATAGTTTAGATAGATTTATTCCCTATCAACACAGACGACCCTGTAGCATGAGCTGTATATCAAAACAGTACTGAAGCTGAGCCGTGTACCATAAGGACTCACTGTAAACCAGGAGGTTATTACATTTGCTATATGTAATAAACATAAATTAGGAGTTTTACAAGCGATTGCAATAATGCATTATGTCTCTCAACCTTACTGGCATTATTACATCACATATACTAAATAATCCCTATGTGCAAAGCAACGTGACACTATTTACCTGCTGTCCACGTTATTCAGTGACAACAGCACTTGCATACAGTGGGTACATGCACTGTTTTATGATTGGTTTCGACATTTAGAATAATGCGCGGCAGAAATGCTCAAGAGAAATTGAAGAGCATGCATGCACGACAATTCTTGCAGTGGGATCCAATCACAAGGTTCACCTTGTTTCAGGGCAAATGTCAAGTCCTACTATCAAATTAGTAAATGTCAATATGTAAGACAAATTTGATCGCCTAACACCTGCTCTTTTAATTGCAGAAAATAGGTTTAATTTGAGGTTTTATTCATAACTTGAATTGAACCACTATCTGTTAATAATACTGTATGTTCAGAAGGCTTAATACAAGATTGAAAACTGAAGTGACTGAGAATATAAGTCAAGTATGTGGCAAGCTCAGAGACTGATGTCATTTTGACCTTCAGGTTGATTTGATAATAAAAAGCAATATATTTGTGTTCCCAAGAAAGGCAAGGTCAAAAGTTGCTTGAATGTGAAAGCTTTGCCCCTCCGTAATAAATAATGTATATGATGTTTCTGCCATTCTGCACCTTGTCCCCAGTATTTCCAGACACAACATGATCTCATTGTTGTTTGAAGTTTCAAAGGCCATTTGTTAAGAGATGACAATTAATGAAAAAGTCCTACCTTGCGAATGCCTTCTTTTGACTCCTCAACGTTGTTTTCTCCCCCTCCGGTGCGGTTAATCATGCGCCACATCTGGGAGTACATGGGATCTCTCTCGAAGGGGTTCATAGACTTGTAGCGGACCTGATCATATACTGCTGAGTCCAACACTGTGCCATAAGGCAACTCCGTCTGCTTGGATAAGTCCTGGAGGGACCTGGCGAGAAAAGTGGTAGATAGAGTTAGTCTTTGTTTCCAGTCATCCATTCACTTTAAGCGCAATGCAGACTCTGGAAGAATGGTTAGCTTCACATCTCACATGGGGCTCACTTCATCCCCTGGGTATTACTATTGTGGTGATACTGCAGGTACTTGGTGGCTACAGTAATGGATATAGCAGTGCCCTGTTTCCAATAGAATGCTCTCTCTGCAACAAGTATCCACAATGCACTGCAAGGCTATTTCCTCTACTGCAGTGATGACACTTTCTAACATGGATATGGAGTGAATAGTCTGTCCAAGAAATAAAGAGTTGATCCTTCTGTACAAAGCCAGTCCATAGTAATCAATCAAAAATAAATATGTTTCAATGCATATTAACTCACTAGTACTTTCGAGCACTAAAATGTATTATTATTCACAAAAACGCAAGAGTAAGTCAAGTGACTACTTGTGATGGACTGGCTGTTTTGGGATGATGGTGTACAATGTATTGAGTTCAGAGTGCATTTAAACAGCAGACCTGAAGCCGTGCCTTGTTAAAGGACACTTCACAGGTGTTTTCGTCTTCTACAAACTTGTATTATCCTGGAAGCTCTACTGTGTATCTCAGCATGTATTTTAATTCTTATCCATCATTTTTAAGAGTGGATTAAATAGGATGAAATATACTGTAACAATATAATCCAAACAGTTGACACAGAGGTAAACACATACAAACATGAAAAGCAAGTGCACATCCAATGACCTGGATGAAATCCCTCAATCTGGTGATTCAGTCTTCGCACTTCAATGTTTGCCCTTATGGGACATGGTGAATGATTGGGTCTTTGTTACTGTCTGAGTATCTCCCTGTGGAAGTTGAAAGCCCTGGACAGCGGGCAGTGAACAGAACACACAGAGAGTTAATGAAGTGTCCAGCTGTATGTGGGCCACCATATATTTTCCCTTAAAAGAGTGGTTTAGATCTAAACTCGGTAACACTTTATATTAAGGTACACAAATTAACCATCAACTAGTTGTTAATTAGCATGTATATTGGCTCTTTATTAGTCATTATAAAACACTTATTAATGCCTTATTCTACATGACCATATTCTACAAGTAATAAGCCATTAGTTGAGTTTTTCCTCAATAACCCTCTAATTAGTGCTTATTTGTTGCAAGTAAGGAAGTTGTTGTACATGAGTTGTGGTCTTAATATGCGCTGCTCAATATGGGCCTAATAAGGCAGTAGTACCACAAGAATAGTTATTCTCCCATAATAACACTTAACAAATATGATCTCTTCTTACAAGACATGAAACTATAAGTGTTAATTGTGTCTAAATAACTCAAAATTAGGTATTTATATCTAAGAATATGTTCCCTATTTTAAAGTGAAGTCTTGTTCATAACCAATAAGCTATTAGTTTGACTCTAATTGTCCTGAACATGTTCCCCATTCTAAAGTTGCCTCCTCTTCACACTTTGTAAATATATTATAGCATACAACTACTGAAATTAACCTCAACAGTACATGAACAAAGTAGGCACACGTTGAAATATCTGTTTTATTAATGAACCACTGAAGAGAGGTTCAGACACATACCAAAACATGTTACGTTTCTCCAAGGCTGAGAACACATAATGCAGCCTGTACTTTTTTTTTTAACAGATTTTATTTATTTGTGATCATACTGTGTGACCTGCTTGTATGTACTTACATAATAGGTGTACTGTTCTCTCTATGTGTTGTACTGTCTCAGTGTGAACATAGATTAAACAGCCAGCCAAACTCTTTTGAGAGCCAGGGAATGAGCAGCCATGCTCCTTTATTGACTTATTTGCAGTCCACTGACATTCAAACGGAGTGAAACTATACAAAAATAAGTTACAAGGCACTTAATAATTTCATACATGCAAGTGTAACATTAACTAGGGGTGTAACGGTACACGTACCGAAATTATTCGGTACGGGCCCTTCGGTTCGGTACACGTGTGTACCGAAAGAATATAACGTTAAACGTAAAAAATTGAGAACGTGAACAACTTTTTGGAAGTAATCTCAGGTGCTGCGTTGCAGCATTCAGAGTAATTTGCTCACATTGGGTTCAACGCGTCATAGAGCGAGCAAATCATTTCATTGGACGAGAGGCATACTATGAGAGCTGGTCGAGGGATGCGTTCAAATGTAGTCAGTAATTTGAGAAACTGTCGAAATGGCGAACGCAGATAAAGTTGAGCTCGAAAATCCTCCAGCATCATTGAAGTCTCCGGTTTGGGAACATTTTGGTTTCGCAGTTACGTACAAGGATGACAGATAAAGACAGGTGGACCGAACCAAAGCTGTTTGTCGGCATTGTTCAACTAAAATTGGTTACGCGGCTGGCAATACATCAAACTTGCACACTCATTTGAAAAGGCATCACCTGAACATGAATATCACCGGTACCAAAAGAAAAAAGACTGAAGTGCAAACCCAACTCCCACTAGCATTTAAGCCTCCACCACCTGCAAAAAGTTAAGCCAAAGCTATTACAAACACCAAATATCATTATGTTGCCATGTTAGCAAAGCGCTACCTGGCTGTATCTGCTACCTCTGTCCCTAGCGAGAGGGTGTTCTCCACAGCAGGAGACATTGTTAGTGCCAGCAGATCTGCCCTTTCAGCAAGCAATGTGGACAAGTTCATTTTTCTTTAAAAAAACATGAAAATACAATGACAAGCAACTTGCAAGTCATAATGTCAAACTGGCTGCTTAGGTACTAGTACAGTACAGTTAAAATACAGATTATTTCAGTTCATCGAAATGCTGCACCTTAATGTTTATTTCATTTTGCCTTTATTTGAGTGAATATTCACAGTTTAATAATAATTAAAAACCCAAAACTAATAGTTTATGTTTTGTGAGTACTAGTACAGTAAAGTTCAAATACAGATTATTTCAGTTCATCGAAATGCTGCACCTTAATGTTTATTTTATTATATTTTGTATTTATTTGAGTGAATACATTATTCACAGGTTAATAATAATAACAAATAAAAAAATGTTTTGTGATAATTTTTCTGCTGTACCGAAAACGTACCGAACCGTGACCTAAAAACCGAGGTAGGTACCGAACCGAAATGTTTGTGAACCGTTACACCCCTAATATTAAAACATAGGACCACTAAGTGTAAACAAGGTAAATATAGCTAATGCTAGCTGTACAATAAGCATGTATACAGGCTAGTATGGCTAACGCTAGCATGTATGGCTAACGCTAGCGTGTATGCTAACGCTAACGCAAATGCTAGCGCGAATGCTAACGCATTTTCTCATTGTGTTTAAACCGTTTAAACATCTCCAAGTGTCATCACATAAACACAATACATGTTACTAATCCTTACAGTGTAAGTGTAAGGCTTACACTTACAGTCATTGCTTTCGGACTGAATTGACCCTTTTACTCTTCAGGTTGCAAAGGGAAAATTAGTAGCAGTCTACTGCATAGGTCTACTGCCATGCTATTCTGTTCACTTTCTCCTACTTCCTGTAGCCGGTTTCCTGTCCAACCTTCAGTACACATTTTACATTACATTACATTACATTGCATTTAGCTGACGCTTTTGTCCAAAGCGACTTACAATAAGTACATTCGACCAGGAAGACACAACCTTGAAGAAAATATATAAATGTGCAAATATGAAACATACAGGTCAATATCACCTTGCTATTGGTAGCTGAACTGTCGATACCCCAACACATATTCTTAGATATAAATACCTAATTTTGAATTATTTAGACACAATTAACACTTATAGCAGGGTTGCCAACTCTCACTCTTTGGTTGGTTATTGAGTTGACTGCTGCTCAAGCTGTCGATCCGCCCCCGCCACTATTAACAACGTTAACAGACAGCAGAGCAGTGGGAGCCGGTTGGTGAATCCCCAACCCGTATTGCGCATGCGCAGATCTAAGATCCAGTAGAAATGATAAAAAAGTAAAAGTCTGCTGCTTATTGTTCTACTAGGCCAAAATAGAGTCAAAGAGTATATGAGAGTGAGAGTGTGTTAATTAATATATTTGGCAGTTTGGAGTAAGTCTGTAGATTTGTTTGTGTGTGTGTGTG